ACATCTTATTCAGCTTTGTGAGCTTCCTGGGGCACCCAACCAGAAACCCTCTGATGCAGAACGCTCTTAAAAATGCTCCATAGTAGAAAATATAAAAAATGGTGGCTCTGAAAGTAATAAATACAGACACAAAGAAACATTCTTGTGTTAGACAAGACCTCAAGCTCCGATGCTTCCAGTGTACTGTAATTTTGGTTCGCAGCAGACGTGTAGACTCATATATTTGTCTATGGGCTGCAAAACAAAATTACAGGTCTCCCATTTCACCCTCTACGACTCTTTCTTAGACCTTTAATGGGGACTGGGAACTGTTGTCGTCTAAAATATTATTTTATGGTGAGTCAGCATGGGTTCGCCGAGTCACTCCATATGTTCTTTGACTTCAGAATCTGTGGTTGCAATTAAATCATCCTCAGTTATTCCTGTAGCCCACAACTGTGGAGTGTTTCCAAATAAGTGAAAATCCCATATTTCACATCTCCTTCAGACTCATCTTTTACATATGAATATGACATCCCCAGTGTCTGGACATTTAATAATAGTGGCTTTATCCACCAACCTGACAACAACTAGGATGATAGACTACCAGAGCCCACAGAATTTTTTCCAAGGTTTTAAAAGTTTCAACGCTTGCCTGAAATTTGATTTGTCTCATTCCTTTCTGTTTCTTTATATTACTATTTAAACACCAGCATGTTTCTTAGTGGTTAATATGCAGTAGCTAAAACTGTGACCTCTTTTTTTCCAACTGATGATTTTGGGATTCTGCAGGTGGTTCAGTTTAGTTTGTCTGCTCAGTCGTAGTAATGGTCGCCGTTTATTAACACACAACATCCCGTGCAACATCTTTCCATTGAAAAAGCTACATTACATTACATAGTAGGTGTTTAGGACACTGAGTGTAATGCTCTAATCAGCTGACCACTGGTTGATAAGAACTTCTTTGGAAAACATGAAGCTTTACCTGTGGACAGTCTTGATTTAGCAAACACGTGAAATAAGTCACACTACCTTTCAAAGCTTATAGTCTGTGTAAATGAATTTCCAGTAGTGCAAAAGCAGCTTTCTAGGCAGAGAGGGCCTCTGTGTATTTCTCACTTGGTCTATCTAATTCAGAGTTCTTTCCCTCAGCTTTTATCTCTCTCTCGCTACTGTAGTTTCTCTCTTCATTGTTATTACTCTTCTTCCTCCTCCTCATATTTCTCACCTTCCTTCAACCACTTCTCTCTATCTGATGTGTTGTCTTTTTGACCAAAGGATCCTAAATGTATCCATTTTTACATTTTCTTTTTCTTCTGCTTGAATGTGTTTTGCTCCGTCTTCCCTCCCCCTCTCATCAGCAGTTCACCTCAGCTCTGGAGCCAAAAGTCCATGCCTAGTTATCTCTCAGACATGCCTTACCCTCCTCCTGTCCAGCAGTGGGGCTGTTCCCGCTGTAATTATTGAACCAATATACTGAGAAAGGTCACATACCAGCAGCTAGTCCTGTTCTGCCTCTGCTGTGTTGTCATACGACCCGGCAACCCGCTGCTATCTTGTCAGTTTAAATAGGAAATAAAGGAGGACTGATGAACAGTGGGACTATGCATGGTTATAATTTACAGTCAGAATCACTGACAGAAAATGTTTTTGTACCTTAACGCAAAGAAAAACACAATGGCATTCACCAAAACAATTTTAACCTCTTCAGCCCCGTGCATTAAAGAGTCCTGATGACAAGCTCTCCTCAAACCAAAATTAGATCAGTTAAAATTATGGTCAACATCCCAGACTTTCCAAAACACCAAATCTGTCCTCAAAAAAACCACACGGAAAATTAAACCTTTAATTTTCCACTTTGACGTCGCCATAAAAAGTCACATCTTTGGTCGATTCAGATCAATTCAGTTTTATTTGTATAGCACCAAATCACATCAAAAGTCGTCTGAGGAGACTTTACAAAGTGTAAGGTCTCGACCTTACTATTATCATCAATATAAATGGAACAGAGTTCAAAAGAAGTTGTAAAAAAGGCCCAAAGTTTATACTGTAGTGGTTACTTTCCTAGGTCAGGGCCCTTTAAGTTGAAGCATGGTGTAGCCTACTGACGTCACTTCCACTGGGTGTGTAGTATGGGTGGAGGATCCTACTACTGACCAAGCAGAAGACGTCACAGAGTATCGTAAAGCTACAGTACATTCTGTGGGTACGGACAACTACACCCGGTTCACCAATGCCAAACCTAAGTCAGTACAGGTCCTGGAGTGGTATGTTAGAATCAATAGTGCAGGAGTTACATGGGGCCGCCAAACGGGATGAATATCCTACGGCTGAGGAATATAAACAAGCCGAAAGGCTGATCCTTCGGAGAGCCCAGATGGATAGTTTTCAGGAGGAGTACAAGCTATTGAAGGATGGGAAACCAGTCCCAAGACGCAGTCGTCTTCTACCTCTGTCCCCAGAGCTGGATAGCACTGGAGAGCTCATCTGTGTAGGGGGACGACTTCGCCGTTCAGCAGATCTAGCATTGACGACACTACATCCAGTCATCCTAGATCCCAGTCATCCAGTGACTAATCTCCTGATCCAGGATTTCGATAGTGGCCGGGAAGCAGTCCGGCGTTAGTGCAAAAAATGGCAGACTTACCAGAGGCCCGTTTATGCCTATTCAAGCCTGCATTCTATTCTACAGGGGTGGACTGTTTCGGCCCCTTTGAACTCAAGATGGGTCGACGCCGAGAGAAGAGATGGGGGGTTATATTTAAGTGTCTTACTACGAGGGCAGTGCATTTGGAGCTTCTTACCAACATCGACGCAGATGCCTTCTTGATGTCACTTCGCCGATTCATAGCACGCAGGGGAACACCTGCTGAGTTGTTCTCGGATCAGGGAACGAATTTCAAGGGAGGTGAAAGAGAGTTGCGTGAGACCTGCATGGGAATGGCTCCTGAACTTCAGCAGCTTCTTGCCTCACGAAGGATCCTCTTCCACTTTAACCCCCCAGGTGCCCCCCATTTTGGAGGAGTTTGGGAGAGGGAGATCCGCTCAGTAAAGAGTGCTCTTTATGCCATAGTGGGTGCTCAACCCGTCCCTGAAGACATGCTCCATACGGTACTGATTGAGGTGGAAGGGATACTGAACAGTAAACCTTTAGGATATGTGTCTTCGGATGCCAGAGATCCAGATCCCGTAACTCCCAATAGTCTCCTGATGGGGCGGCCTGATGGATCTCTACCTCAGATAGTGTACCCGGAGAACGAGCTTCTGAGTCGTCGCAGATGGAGACATTCTCAGGTTTTGGCTGACCACTTTTGGTCACGTTTCATCAGGCTCTACATACCAGGAATGCAAGTACGACAGAAGTGGCAGGCAAACACTTCGGACATCGCCACAGGCTCAGTTGTGATGATTGCCGATCCACAGCTTCCCAGGGCTCTCTGGTCTATTGGGAAGGTGACCAAGACTCATCCTGGACCAGATGGACACATTAGATCAGCTGATGTCAGAGTGAAAGAGAGAGTGTATACGCGACCAGTAGCCAAGCTGGTTGTCCTTCCTGCCCTCCCATCTGGAGAAGATGAGGACAATTCCACTTGAACTTAATGCCTTTATTAGTGAGCAAATGTATTACAAGTAGATAAGAGGTGAATGTGAAACAAAACATCAAATGATTCATTCAATTCAGGGCTGCTTTTAATCAGCTGAACTATATGTTCAGCAACTTTAGCTACTTAAGGGGAATTTGAAACTGAATTTGGGCACATTGAGGTGCATGTGGTTAAGTGCGGGACTGTCACTGTTTGTGCTCCTGCAGCTGCAGAGGAGCCGCCCAGTGTTTATGCTGAAAGCCGCTTAATGTAGTCTTCAGTACATTTGCTGCGCCTGTGTGGGCAAGCCGCTTAACCCTCTGCTGCTCAGCTTGATATCTGGATGGGCGAGAGGCTGCTGCATGGTGAAGTGCATACTGTAAACACATTCAGTGCTTCTCGGTCTGAATCTGCATGTGTGAACCTTAGCTTAACTGATGGGTCAGCTTACTTGGGGGGTGATTCATATTTCCACTGCATCTGCAAGTCAGCTTCATGCTCCAAACCAGTTTGGGAGAGAGACTGTGTTGTCTGCTGCCGTAAAAGGAGAGAGCTGAAGGGCCAGTTGGCAGCTGTCATGTCGTAACTGAGGCTGAAACCACACAGTGTTCTTCATCTGAAAGGACGTGATTCAGAGATTGCCAGATTCATTCTGCACTTTCCAGGACTCTGGCAACCCAACGTAATCATCTAATAGAAATGTGGGAAGCAACTCACAGACCCCCACCCCCACCCCAAATGATGCACCAGACTGAAGAGTGCATGATAATTAGCCACCTCAGTATGTGAAGCCCATTTGAAAAGATCACTGTCATTGCATGTCCAAGCCTCAGTGACTTTGTCAGCACTCAAAAGGAACACAAAGTCCACCATTTAAACTATTGTAAACCTGTCATCTCTCCCTATGGCTTGACGGTGCCAAGCTGAACAGACCCACCACAAATAAAAACAATGTGTGTTCCTAAATGATAGTCAGTAAATGGCCTTAAGCATGAAATAAAGCCTGTCAAGTTTTCCAACTAAATTCACTTAATGAGCCTCAGGGCAAAAAATATAAGTAGCCTCTGCTGAGGGTCAAAGCAGTGATGACTAACATTCAACCATTCCCTGAAATCCAATTATTCTTAACATCATAATTCCCTTTAGTCATCCTGTATGGAAAATGGGCTGAATATACAGTCTCTCTCTCTCTTGATTCCAATTTAAAGAGATGAACACCGAGCAAAGGCTAAGGTGTAAATGTCAGACATTGTGTGTGCCTATAACAAACTCCTCTGTATGTGGGTTTATGCTGTTACAATAACAACATCACACTAACACAACCACAAGAGGTTGTACATAAGTGAAATGCAACCATAGTGTCGAACATGTTAAGGGTTTAGCCAAAAGACCAATTTTGATTTGTTTTGTAAGAACAGCCTTGTGTTTCCATACCTGCTGATGCAGAGTGTGAGCTGCTGAGTGCACGTTTTGATCCTGTTCTGAGCCTCCATGTGTGTCATGTGCTCTGTGCTGTCGCCATTGATGGCCAGGATGGTGTCACCTGGACACAGGTCACCTTGGGCCGCCTTGCTGCCTGGTGTTACCTGAAGATAATGTTCACACACACACACACACACACACACACACACACCAGTTCAAGCACACCCAGGAAAAGAAGAGAAAGAGGTGTTATAAGTGATGTCAAACTGTCAGTGAGAAAGAAAGACAAAAAGAGCAGTAACGCGAGTGTCAACACAGAGGCCAAGCTCAACAAAAGCTGCCCTCTTCTGATTCATATAGCATTGCCTTGGGCAGCACTCTAGGTTTACATTTTCTAAAGCCAGTAACAATGACACTGGGAAGTGAGACGCCTCTCAGATTTTTAGAAGTGGTGAAATAGTATTGTAATTGTAAAAACTTGGAACATGTTTAAACTCCCAAGCTATTGAAATTCAAGAAATAGAAAAAAATCTACAGTGTTATGATCACTCGGCAGTTACATCAGTGAATGCTGTCAAGTCCAAGAGCAAATTATTTTTTTTACCAAAGACTGTATATGAACTTTGAACCTGAACAACAGTTACTGTTTAATGTCAGATTCATTTGCCAGCATCTGCTCAATATGCGCTTCTAGCTTTTTATTTTTTTTGATTTGTCACTCTGGCTGTTTTGATCCTGTAATGTCCTGCATCTTCCAGATGGTTGACAGTGAGCAGGCTTCTCTCTGTGACTTTTCATTCCAGAAACACACAGGTCTGCAGACATTTATACCCTACAGGGAGGCAGGGGGTGAGGAGGAGGGCTGGTGTGCCAGTGGGAATGTTTCACCATCACATATGATAACAATTTTCCATTATTACACACACACACACACACACACACAAATGTCCCTACGATTTCCAGACTGGTCATTAGGCTTTGGTGAAAATAAATATGAAACCACCAATCAAATTCTGCATCATCAAACCAAGACGTCCACAGTAAAACAGTCGCTGTATAAGGCAGCAAGCTGCAGAAGAAAATACTCTTTACTACCAGTCAAATGCAAACAACTGTCATCACTCTTCCAGTGTTCTTTGCACACTCCATGTACTGTCTTTAACAACTGTGACTGTTAGTTTGCTTGTATTTTTCCAGCCATTAAATGTAAGGAAAGTTTCTGCAGCTGGAAATAATTGATAGAGTCGTGTTGTCTTTTAGAGGAATTTAAAATGGGAATTATTTTCACATAGACTGAAAAAGCAGTGATTCAACCTCTGTTCATTTACTATTCTATATATACTTATAATATTTATAGCAGCAGCTGCTGATTTTGTACAAACAAATTCACAGATTTGAGCCTGGTGTTCAGATTCCAGCACTTTGTAACATGACTAAGAGCTAAAAGGGTTAAACGTCTGCTTGTACCTATAAATACACACAGGAACCCTTTGTATGTTAAGTGTCAGTGATTAATCTTGTCCTGTCATCCAAGGTTTTACATGAATACCTCTCTTTGAGCTCATCCATCTCCATACCAGGGACCCCACTACCTGACACTACACATCTCCTAATGCCTGCCCAAGACAAATTAAGAGAGTGAGAAGCTGCTTGTGCAAGAGGAGCAGCCTCGCTAACAGGAAGAGCATTCAAGGCACACTAGGTCACGCTCTATGAAGCACTAATAGCTGAGTTGTGTGATTAAGATGTTGAATTCCTAATTTACAGCCTCTGACTGCCCCAATGTCCCTGACTCAGTTCCTGTAAACTCCAAGGTCGGCAGCATTGTGGGAGGTGTGTGGAAGTTTGTGTGTGTGTGTGTGTGTGTGTGTGTGTCACACTCAAAGAAAGAAAAGCTGCTGTGGATCAGGCAGTAGAGCGGTTGTCCACCAACAGGAAGGTCGGCAGTTCGATTCCTGTTCTTCCCCAGTCCACTTGTTTAAGTGTCCTTGGGACAGACGCTGAACCCCAAGTTGCTCCCTGATGGCTAGAGCAGCACCTTGCAAAGATAGCGCTGCCCTCAGTGTGTGAGCAGGCGCTGCAGATGGCTACCTCGGTTCATGAATAAAGTTTTTAGGGTAGGATAAATGTAACAAATTCTCATGTGTCAGCGGATCTGTTGACAGACACCAACTGGAGGTTACAGTTACCCGTACGTCATTTAGCACAACCTCCCTGTTTGGGAATGTTTTTTGTGTATGTGTGTGTCTTGGGCTTGTTTCAGTCTCATGTCATAATAGACCAAATTTCATGCACCCCCAGTGACCTCAGAGTGAGCAATGTGAGTAAAATCACCGCAGGGGCAGGGCATGAATAGTATAGTGCATGAAACACACACACACACACACACAGGCACAGTGGTGTGCAAAGTGCCACAATGGTACAGCTGAGGCCGTCACCAGGGGACAAACATCCCTGTATGTTAGGAAATGTAAGCAGGGTGTAGAGTGATGTGGTTCAGACATAATAACAATCTGCTATATTTACACTGCAGATGGCGAGTGATGTAATGACTCAAATCAACAGGGTTTTAACGATGAATGCGATTTTTTAATTAGGTTTTTACTCAGCGGCTTTAAAGCCATTTTCTATATTTAACTTTCTATTTTTGTGTTATTACTCATATGAAACCACTGGTAGAAACAATGGCTAAATGAATTAAGTAATAAAGCAGAGGATGGAACAAAAGCTGTTGTGAATGATGAAAAGTTGTTGCTTTACCACTGTGGAGGAGCTAAGCAGGATAATTAATTAAATATAATATTCCAGCTTTACTAAAAATATGAACTTAATATCATGTGGTGGGAATTAAACCCCGTTTTCACCCAGGAAACACCCTCTCAGTGCCAGCAGACATCCAGTGATTTGGTTTAAAACAGTAAGGAATGAGTTGGTTTTTAGTTACTCTGACAAAATTAGGGTTTAAAACGAACAAATAGCTTCATAGATGACATCATATAACTATCGTAGGTTTCCTTTAACTGCAAGCATATTCAGGTTTTATGTGTGTTAGACACACTGCTCCTTCTGCTAACAAAACGTTTGGGTTCATCACTTGAGGAAGAATCTTTATGAAAGACTGTTAAGACTTTGATAATATACAAATTAGGCTGTCTAAGCTGTACTGGCACCAGACATGTTGGATTACGTCTGACTGCACAAACACCCATCACAGATTTGCAGAAAGAAAGTGTACTATTTGCTGGGCAGTCTAAACAGGTGCATCATTTTCATGAGTGGCTGCTCCACAACTAGTGACATAGTAAATTGCTAACAGACAGAGGGGTTAGAAAATGACAGCCTCATGTCACAGAGAGGCCTGAGAAATGTGCGCTGGTGTAGAGAGGTGTGCTCTTCTGTGTGGCAGAAAAGACAACTATATCTTTGTGTTTCCTTGTTGTGTATTTAAATACTGTAAAAACAACACAGAAACTTAAAGAAACTAATATCAGCTTAACCTGAATGTATAAACCTGCAAATGACCAAATCAGCACTTTGTTATTAGTTATTTTTCTAAGCTTTATGGAAGAATCTGATGTTTTTCCTCTGCGTGTAATCCACAGAGACGCTGTCTGCTGGGTGGAAGCGTTGAGTCGCACGTCTCTGGAACACAATAGAATAACTCCTGGCAACGTGTCAGACACGTTTGTTTGCTTGTTGAATTTACGATAGGAACCATGGTTATGACCTTAGTAACACTTTGGAAAGACATTATATAGCAGAGGAGGTGTGTGCTTCTGGCTGGTGTGAGACTATCACACTCAAACAAAGACCAAGATCATTAGGCACTGCATTTAGTGATTATATGTAAGACTGTATTTTAAGGAGAACATGTGGTACCAATATTATTCTGCAGTAAGTGCGTGGAAATCTCTGTAAATCTGATTAATAATGTTGTAGTTTGCTGTGGAGAGGCAGCCCCTAGCATCTACAGTGTCATTCTAGCCTGGAGAAAAGAGCAGCTACAGCTTAAAGTGGACTACCATTGCCAGCAGCATCAGACAAACATCCCCTGCAGCTTTACGTCACATGTCCCGTCTCTGGCATGTGGCAGACGTACACTGAGAAATTCAAGGGTACAAAGGACAGCGAGTTTGCTTGATGCATTACTGCTAATTTAATACAAGGTATATTAGACGTTAATAAATGAATGACTGTGATTCCAGTGCACATTAACATTAAGAAACACTGAAAGATATGACTTGAGCTTTTTCTCCTAACTATCAAATTCCAGAAATTCCATATAGCCACCAGAAAATGTTGATATGTGGGAGTTTACAGGTACAGTATATTTCTTAAAGGATAGATTTACAATTTTTTCAGGCTTCACTTCAATTCAGTTTTATTTGTATAGCACCAAATCACAACGAAAATCATCCCAAGCCACTTTACATAAAGAACCCAACAAATCCCCCTTGAGCAAGCACTTGGTGACAGTGGTTGCCATAAAACATCATGCTTTTGTGTTTGTAAGCATTACTCTTGTCCATACTGGCTGTGAAAAGATGCCTTCATAACTGTCCATCATCAAGGAAGCCACCACCTGTGACCAGGAGTAATGACATCAAATATCAAATGTGGTCCCACTAGATCTGAAACGATGAGCTTAGTTGGCTACTAGACAGCAATTTTTGATAATCAATTAATCATGTAACTTATTTATCAAGCATAAATGCTAAACATTCTCTGGATCCTGTTTCTCAGATGTGAGGATTTGTTAGAGTTTTTCCCATTTTCTATCGATGTAACTGAATATCTTTGGAATTTGGACTGTTGGATGAAACAAGCACTTTGAGCACATCAGGATGGGATCTGGGAATCTGGCATGGGCATTTTTTACTTTTCTCTAAAATGGAATCCACAGTCTGACACAGCTATACTAAAAGTACTAGGCATCTATTCAAGCATGTTACTACTTGTACTGTCATGTAATTGTTGCTTTTAAATAATATTTATCTTATTGCATTCTAATGTTTAATCTATGTATGCATTTTAATGTTTTATCTTTCTGTGTGCGTTGTGTTAAGCACTTCAAATTGCCTTTGCATATGAAAATGTGTTATATAAATAACCTTGCCTTGCCTGACAATAAGAAGCGGAAAAAAAATATCCTGCCTAGAAGTTGACTTTTTGCAAGTTGCTGGTTCAGACAAGCGTCATGCGTCACCTTGTGCCTGAACACTGGTTTACAAAAAGGGGCTTTTAGCACAGCTGCCTTATTTAACATCCCTTCTCTAAAGGTTTCTGCATTTGCATCATTATACAATTCTGTTTCTCTGCTACTCAGCCTGCCTCATGCACACAGCCCTTTAACACCCTATGCACACACAGCAACAGGACAAATGTTTCCAGAGTCATTAACTGGCTAGAGCCCTAATGGGCTGGCAGGAAACTAATGGGCTTATCCTGAGACACTATCAGCTTAAGCAAGAAACCAGCTGCTGCCATCAGAACTTGCTTTCTAGTATTTACAACTCACTTCTACCCAATGCAGGTGTTTCATGGCATTCACTTTAATTTATGGAAACAGACACAGAGAAAGGAACAGGGGGATCTGTCAGTCATGCAGAATAGAGGTATAATACTCAACCTGCAGACCTGATACACCCTTGAGACTGCTTTGGTTTGTATGAGGTTTATATGATGTTATAATGAACCTCAAGGGGGCATTTTGGATACTGTAAGACATGAACCATGGTTCTGTGAAACACTCTCACGAGCGCTCCTCTTCTCCCTCTATGCATCTCCTTCTGTGTCACCATTCAACACACTGTAATTGCAGTCTTGGGAACACATTGTACAGCAAGAATGTGGTAAGCATGTGATGAATAGTTCAGGAGATCCTCCAATATATCAGCAGCAATGAATCACATTGGGCTTCAGACTCACAACAAGGTGAGTGTTAGAGGTCAGAGGTTAGAGGACATCCGTTAAAACTTTTCCATTTTTTTTCATCCCATCTCCTGGCATTTGAATAATCATTCGGCTAAACCGGAGTATAAGACAGGATAAAACAATTGTGTTCTGCCAATAAAACACACTGTGTATTGTCAGTTGATGGTTCAAAGCATGTGATGTCAATTGGACAATACTACTCTGTAGTAAGTCTTCAGGAGGTAGAGTAATGCTAGGACTGTGTGTATTTATGCCTCTGACATGACATATTTTGCTAAATATGCCTGCATCTCAACAGCTGCTTCCTTCTCTAATTTTCAAGCCAAGATTTAGGAATTAGCCAAAACTCCCCTATTAATTCTTATAAGGAGCTCTTCCACGAACACTGGTTTTATTGCCATCTTTGCTATGTAACTGTCTCTGTGTGTAACATTTAATTAACTTCACTGATGCATTCATCATTCATGAGTTACACAATGTTCCCAGTGCAAAAGATTTTCCTGTGCATGTCATGGTTTTCACATTGGTAGTCATGCAAATGTACACGGAATAAACTGGTGAGAAACTGTGAAATCAGTTCTACTGAAACCACAACTTGTAAAAATGACTTAAGAAGTTAGGAAGGTATGCATCATCTGAAGCTGCACTAGATTCTGACTTTAAAGTAAACATTAAACACGAAATACCAAGCCCATACATTAGATTTTCTGTTTTTCCCCATATGAATTCTGATGTTGGGCACAGTTTCTGTTGAAAATGCTACATAGTGCACAGAAAGAAAAACTGAAACCTGAAAATCAAGTATAAAGTGAATGATCTGTCCACAAGAAGTGGAATTTGCCAATAATACCCAAGCAGCAAATCAAGCCACTTAAGTACAAGGGATTTGCAGTGCAGTGATGCCATGTTTGAGTTTCAAATGTGACTAGAGAAGCAAAGGTGCCAAGTTAGCAAGTGTGTCCACAAAACTACAGGCATACAACTGATAAGACTCAGCAAACACTGAATCAAAGTACTCTATATCTCACTGAGAGCACCTCAGGTGACCCTCGGGGGTTTTCCTGCTTCTCTCAAAACCATTAATCATCAGCTGTAAATCTAAAAATTACACCTCTAGTCTGAAGTGCTATGGGCCTATAGTTAACGCGTTGGTCTGGGACTGGTGATACAGCTGAACATAACACCTGGAATCTCTCAGCAGCACCAGTGAGCTCTGATTAAAAACAAATGTCAGCACCCCACACGGCCTTCAGTGAGCCCTGCAGCAGGATCTGGCTGTGTTTACCCTGGCCATGGTGCATTACTGGCTACTGCCAGATCCACTGCCACTGACTTTTGACCTATATTCTGAGGTCAGGAAAGTTCATAAAGGTTTAAGCATATTTGTACCACTACCTCAAATACTAATAACAATGATTAAAACACAGATCCAATACAGCATCAATAATCAAAATGCAATATCCAGATGTAGCAAGTTTAAAATCTCATTGCCGACTTTGGCCACTCACTGACACATGCCCAGATTCGGAAAACATGATCATAACGTGTTTTTCTTCTATGCTTCTATTGACGCTGATGATATTCAAAGCATACTGTATAATTGATGCCCGGCCAACGGCAATGACTCATATAATTGCACTGGCAACTTTAGCTGTCAGTAATTAGACGGCATAATCTGCTAGATAAGCTCCTGTTCATACACACTATTGTTGTTAAGGGCACCAGACCTTGGCGACTTCTTAATTAGGTATAGGCCTAATTTGGGCAAGGATCAGTTTTAGCATCTTCAGTTTTCCTCAAGTGATTTATAAATGGTAAAATCACTTAAATTACTGTAATCGGAGTAATCATCACTGTTTTGTATGTAGGAATAAGAAGATCTAAATTGCATTGCCAAGTTGAGACGCCGACAGTGCGCATTTTGCGCACGGCTCAATGAAAGAATAGCCATCGAAACAACAGACGGTAAAGTTACACCTACCCTGGAAATGGTTAACGGTGTGCTGAAATCCCGTCCTCCCACCAGCCGAAAACCCCAAGGAGAGGGTCCCTTTAGTGTCACGGACTGGGGCATGTTTGGCATACAGACAGCGAGAGGGAAACAGAAAGATGACCGGCAGACCGAGGGAAACGTCCGTGGTTCCTCGCTATAACGAGTAAGAAGAGGCAATGTGAACAGGCCAGAGTCTACTGCCTAGCTGCTAGGCAACGTTGTCCCGGCTGAGAAAACTTTCCTCCCCTTTTGATTCAAGTTTAAATAACGAAGCCGCCTCTGACGTTGGATGACGGCTCGTCCTGCCCACCTTCACCCGCTCTGCGCAGAGCGGGAGGGGACGGCGCTGCAGCGCTCTGACATGTCAGCTGTGAAGGAGGAAGACACACACAAACCATCTTATTGGTCAGCACTACTGCAGAGACAAGAGGTGGATGTGTTTGTTTTCCATCTCTTCTGGTTTCATTTTTACGTTCAAACATTCTTTTTCTTCCACTGCCACCTCAAGTATTTGACATGAAGCTCACCCATCAGTGAACATGCAGGTAACCTTTATTCAACAGTGACTTTTATGTTAATGAGTTCATAACTAGACACATTTACTCATGTATTATACTTAACCTATTTTTCTTCTCTAAATCATAGTTACAGTTCAGAGCATAAATATTTGGACAGACATATTTTCAGGCTCTGTTCTTCAGCACATTCAATTTCTAATAAACTAGTGGATTAAAGTGGTATGTTTCAGCTTTCATTTGAGCAAGTTTATATCAATATAGAGAGAACTGTGTGAGAGATATAGCCCTTCACAATGAAGAACGAATAGCCTGAACAAAAACATTCATTCTGCAACATGACAGTGAGAAGTGTACCGCCAGAGTACTAAAGAACTGTCTTCAGAGACAAGAAGAACAAGGAGTCCTGCAACAGATGGTCTGGCCCCCACAGAGCCCTAATCTCAAAATCCTGGAGTCAGTCTGGAATTACATGAAAAGACAGAAGACACAGAGACAGATTACCTCCACAGAAGAACTGTGGCACGATGCCTGGAACAATCCACCTGTCATGTACCTAATATAAATAATTGTAAACTTTAACTTTTGAATGAAAAAATACGCATTTCTTTTATATCATGATTAAAAAACAATTTAAACAGCCATAAGATGTATAAGCAAAGCAGCACCAGTTAAAAAGGTCAAACTGATTAACACTGTATCCCGACAAATGCAGTACCTATACACTGGTCAGGTTTTTAATTCTGCCATGAATGAATCATATATTCAAATCATGTTTTATACTTGTAGGATTGCCCAAAAGTTGCATGTTAATATTTGCTAATTAGCTCTAAACTCAAAGTACAGCTGAGGCTGATAGATATGTCTTTCATTTTGCAGGTGTCTGACCACAAACCAAAGTGAAATTTTGACCTAATGAAGGTGCTGGAGAAGAAGTCAGGAGATAACTAAAGGTTTTACTGTGGAGGATATGATGGTCTGTGCCAAATATCAAGGCTATCCATACAACATTGGTCAAGACATCTCACTAAAAAAAACAACAAACTGGCATTTTCATCCATAGAGCTACTAGCTGCTAATAGAATAAAAATAAATGGAAGCATAGATGCAGGTTCATGAAATTGGCTGAAAACAAAAGTCAGTCAATATCTCACTGATGAGCTAAAAGCCATGAGGCCAGAGAATCATCTCCAACAATGAAGTTTTGTTTTGCTGCAATCTGGATGCCTCAGTGGCAGCAAAGACATTTCCCATTTGTTACTGGATATTCTCTCTGCCCCACTTCTTGATTCTTTCATTTCCCCAGCCATTTACAGAATGAGTCACTGAGCTAGAGTATGATTTTTCTGCTGCAGAGGGAATGATCTCATAGACATTCTTGGGAATCTATCTTTTGGACAACTGCAGGCATGTGGAGCTCTAGAAGTCTGACTCAATTTGAGTCAGGCACTAACTTATCCCAGTCATTGTGTCAAAAAGCCACAGTGATGTCAAACCAACCTGATCTCAGCATAAAGTATAATTGCCGGTGCATCATGAGTGACAGCATTTTCAAAGTCTTGTATAAATTTAGCACAGACCAGTGAACAAGTAAGAACTGATGCACTTGGTACTGATCCAAACTGTGCAAAGAAAAGAAAACAAATGAGAGAGAATATGAGCCAAATGATGTCCCTACAAAGTCACAGAGGTGGATCAGTTCAGTGAACACATACCTACAAACTTCCTCTCAGCACCTTTGGGTTCAGACAAATGGCAAATTAAATGACAAATATTCAATCTCATGCCGACCTTGTTAAAATATTAGACACTTTCCTGCCATGATCACTGCAGAAGTTTAGGAGAGCATCACAGTAGGTGTCACCAAACAATGCTTACAGACTACTCCTGCACTTATTACCCAGCATACATCAAAGGATGATTAACAAGGAAGGATGAGAGGGCTGTAGCTTGCATCAGAGATTTACTGAGTAGATAATCAGTCTGACATTTCAGATGTGCATCTTCCTCAAAGCCTGCTCCGAATAAATCAGACTCAAACTACAGACAGATCCCAGTTTTCTGTTCTTGTTCCCCCGATAGTCATTATTCAACATACTGTAGCCTTGGCCACATCTATGATATGCTTTTACCGTAGATGCCTACCGATCTATTTACTCCCCAGTTTTGCCTCTGTGTTCCGCAGCCAAGAAGAACCTGAGGGAAGCAGGCAAGACAAGTGGTGCTGCAATCATGAGCTGTCGGCCTCCGTCTGGATTATCTCATCCTGTCTAGGAGAGCGATGTTATCTAAGCTGTTGCACAAACACTGGATCCTCAGGATCTTCACTGGCAGTAAACACAGTCTAATAATTATTGATGTCATCTAACAATACCCATTAACATCTAATAAATTTATTCTCATGAGCTATGTAAGAATTTTACTGACAGAGATGTATTTTTATTTGAATACCATATGTTTGTAGGATTTTTCTATGGCCCAAAGGTCTTTCAAATCTTGTTTTTCAAAAGACTTTGTCTAACTGGTGCACATACATGACTAAATTTAATGCTTTGTACAGGCTGATACAGTGTGTGCATTAAAGCAAATTAAAAGAAAACTTAAAATGTAAAAAAAAAAAACCTATACAAGACACAGCTCAAAGTTAAAAGTACTAGAAACAACATTAACACCAGGGTTTATTTAATGCCAAATGTTAATGCAGTAATAGTCTGTATTTTTACATTAACAATGGGTTAAAATTGACTGTGCAATATGAAAGAGGCCGCTCTTGGTGACAAACCCACAGACAGTTCCCCCCCAGCTCTACAGAGCTTGTTAGCCTCATTCAGCTCATTGTTTTGGTTTGACTTGATTCATTGGTTTGATTCATTCCTCATTGCTGTCTTTAGCCCTGTTTCCACCTGCAGCATTTTCATTGAAAAAGCTCTCATAAACCCAGTGTATGCTTCCTACACTGTACCAAACAACAGAAAGACATGATGGTGGCCAGCTGGTAAACATGGTGGAGCATTTAAAAAGCCAGATAAGCTCCCTCAGGAGCTGGTCAAGAATAAAACAGAGCCAACTTGAGAGGCAGTATGCAGTAAAACCTAAAATCCTCTCACAGTAGGCAGGTTTGCTAACGTGTATGCCAACTTTGCTCAACAAGCTATTATATGTCAGTGTTGTTTACAGCTTGTTTGTAATCAGAAACTCATATTAATCATTTAAATACCAAGATCCTGTTTAGAATTATGATTTGGACTGTGGTCCACAAGTCTGATGGAAGCAGATCTAGCAGCAGATGTAGCCCCCGGCTGCAAATATCCTTACTACATTAACTGAAAAATGTAGTTTCTTTACCCTGATTTCCAGCTTAGCTTTATGCCCCTTGCATTGAAAATGGCAAATTTTTTATTATGACACAGGCTGAAAACAATGGTGCCACTCACAGGTTCGGGCCTGGAGCGCCCCATGGGGTCCAAATAAGTTGCAGGGAGATCATGGAGCTTAATTCATGTGCTCAGTCAGAAATGAAAAACAGATATTTCATATCATAAGCCCACCACAGGCCCAAAGCTATTCCATAAGAATGCTGCAGACTTCCACGCTTACCTGCAGCAATTTGATGTGATGATAAATAATTCGCTGAGAAGAACAAGTGGTATCAGGGGAAACAATTTTCTTTTTCAGAAGAGTATGTGTCTCCTTCATTCACATTTCCTCCTAAACTGTAGCATCAATCCCTAAATGTTCCTGTGATGCAGCTAAACAATCATCAGTTGAATATGTTTGTACTGATACTGTGGATAAAAGGTTTAAATGTGCTCAGTGAATGTCAGGAAGAAAAGAGCAGATGTCAAATCTGTCATTTTCAGACTAAATTCATTCCTGGAGTTTTAGTTTGTCAAGCACAGTTAACTGATAAATAATAAAAATCATCCTTGACAAAGCTATCCATCAGACTTGGTACTGAAAGACTGTGGCTACACATGCACATGCACACTGACCAGATGTGATGACGCTGCAGCGTTGCTGTTGGTGGAATAACAAACAGATCTGACTGGGTCTTCACATCTGGTCCGCTGAAATGCAGCTGAACGAAAATGACACTTCACTCACTGTTAAGGCAGTAAAGGAAGAAAGACAGAGTGCATAGTCAGATAAACCATCCCTCAGTTATGTGATAAAATATTTTTTATTTAATCAGGTTTTATGAAATATTACTATATGTTTTGATGCCTGAATGTACAGTAAAGTAACTGGTTCTTGAATGTGCACTTTTTGTACACGCATGTAACCATATTTTAACTGTCAGTAAGTAACAGCTGACAAGTAGCTGAAACCTGGGAGTTACAAGATTGTCTTACAACTGTAAGACAATCCTAGCAGCAAGAAGAGGAACAGCCCATTAAATATGAATAACAGATTATACCTAAAACACAGCTAAAGAACAACATTTGTCGCTCCACATGCTTTTCATAAAGAAGCATATAAGTATTTACAGTGAGTGCTTTGTGTTTCTGGGGTATGTCAGGGACCGAACAGTAAGGCAGAGTACACAGCATTTAAATTTATAAAAACATGGGCATTTTATTTACCCCAAAATAAGGAAAAAAAACAAAAACAACATCAATATCAAACAAACCGGGGCCTAAAAGAGGTCAACAAAAGATAAGGAAACTCAAAATACAACAAACTGACCTGCCCAGTGCCTCAAACAAAAAAAAAAACAACTGACATGACAATGGAGGAATATATACTGTATACTGGCTGGTCAAACCAGTAACACACACAGGGAATGGACAGAGACACTAACTAAATAATCTACCAATAAAACACTGAACAGACCATCCACTAACTACTATAATATAATATATTTTTCTTTAGATGTAAAAAAAGCATAACTTGACAAATAAAGTTTTAACAAAAACTACAAATAAATAAAAATATATTTCTCTCCCCTCTCCACCTTTCCTGTATTGGGCACTTGGTACAGCCCAGGCCTAGTGGGAGGTATTTAAGCCTGCTGCTGCCTCAGTCCAGTCTTTTTTTTTTGTTGGGACCACCCCTCATCCATGGACGTGGAAATGGTAACTCAAAAAGAAACTTTGCCCACATTAATAATGTATTGACAATACAAAATTAACCAAATGTGCATGCTTCATTGGTTAATTGTGTATGTCTAAACCTAATGTCAAATGTCTAAAATCTACTTACAACTTTAATTTACACATGTGACCAAAGAAAATAAAAGAACATTACCTAATTAATTCCACTGCTGTGGGTGGCTTAGGCCCTCACATGGTGAAGGCCGGGGCTGAGGCCTGCACAGGGTATTTGCATGTGACTTAAACATGCTATTATGCAGTTTTCATGGTGCGCCTCATCAGGGGCCCAGTGTAGCAGACCTGTTTACTTTATGTATAGACATGTCAAACACCAGAGTGGCAGTGTAATACAGTGAGACAGTTTGCAGGTTGCATTATGGAACTTCGTCTTCGTTCATCTTGAGTGGCACTTGTGATCATATTTCACTATTATATACTATATGTTTG